CCCAGGACTGAGCCCTGGGGGACACCACTAGCCACAGGCCTCCAACTTGACTCTGCGCCATTCACCACAACCCTCTGAGCTCGGCCATCCAGCCAGTTCTCAAGCCACCTCACTGTCCACTCATCTAGCCCACACTTCCTGAGCTTACCTAGGAGGATGTGATGGGAGACAGTGTCAAAAGCCTTGCTGAAGTCCAGGGAGACAACATCCACTGCTCTGCCCTCATCTACCCAGCCAGTCATTCTGTCATAGAAGGCTATCAGATTGGTCAAGCATGATTTCCCTTTGGTGAATCCATGCTGACTACTCCTGATCACCTTCTTGTCCTCCAGATGCTTAGTGATGACCTCCAGGATGAGCTGTTCCATCACCTTTCCCGGGATGGAGGTGAGGCTGACAGGCCTGTAGTTTCCTGGCTCCTCCTTCTTGCCCTTTTTGAAGACTGGCGTGACATTGGCTTTCTTCCAGTCCTCAGGCACCTCTCCTGATCTCCATGACCTTTCCAAGATGATGGAGAGTGGCCTAGCGATAACATCCGCCAGCTCCCTCAGCACTCGTGGGTGCATCCCATCAGGGCCCATGGATTTATGGATGTCAAGTTTGGACAAAAGATCTCTAACCCGATCCTCCTCAACCAAGGGAGAGTCTTCCTTTCTCCAGCCTTCCTCTCTTGTCCCCAGGGTCTGGAATTCCTGAGGACTGGCCTTAGCAGTGAAGACTGAAGCAAAGAAGGCATTCAGCAACTCTGCCTTCTCTGTATCCTTCCTCACCAGGGCACCCACCCCATTCAGCAGCGGGCCCACGTTTTCCCTAGTCTTCCTTTTGCTGTTGATGTATTTGAAGAAGCCCTTCTTGTTGTCCTTGACATCCCTTGCCAGATTTAATTCCAACTGGGCCTTAGCCTTCCTTGTCGCATCCCTGCACACTCTGACAACGCCCCTCTATTCCTCCCAAGTGGCCTGTCCCCTTTTCCACATTCTGTATACAATACTCAGTCGTCTCTTTTTCGTATGGGAACTTAAATTATTTCAATCTTTTGCCTTGCCCCTCCTCTCCTAGACCTCCAGTTATTCTTCAAGATTTCTTCCAGACTCTCTGCAAATGATCACAGCCTTCATGAAGTGCAGCACCCAGGACTGCAGACAGTAATCTAGGTAAAGCACTATTAGCCATGAACAGAGTAGAAGGGTTGTTTCATATCTTTAGTAAGTCATACTTCTATTTATGCGCTTCTCTGTGTCATCTGCCTTTTCTACTGCTACCTAGCATGTGATCCATGCTCTCTCTCTTCAGCCTTTTTCTAGAGAACTGCTGCCCAGGCAACTGCTCCTCTTCTAGTTATTCATGTGAGCATGAAGGACTTTGTATGTGTTCTTACTGACTAGTGTGCTACTTTCTCAGACTATGACAAACACATTAACAAGAATACACTCATTTACTGATGAGAAAATATTCAGATAGGTTATGAACACAGCCTGACCTGAATTATCAGCTGTTAAATCTCACCAAATGGCATTGGTCAAAACTTGGGCGGGGGGGAGGGGATGAGTGGAAAATATATGAAGTGGAAACTTCTGCAGAAAGTGCAGAAAAATAAAAATGTTTAATTTTTCACTAGGAAATCAAAATGTTGTCTGAATTCTACAGGCTGTGTACTTTGGGTTATGTTTAGCCACATATTTACAGCTGAGAAACAACTATATATATTTTGGTGAAAACTTCCCATTTTTCTCCAAAGATGTTTCTTTTTGCTTCATTTTTCAAGAAAAGACTCAGCAATTTCCTCCCATTACCTCCTTTTTAGCAAACATCTTCATCCCACCTCCCCATGCTTCCCTTTTCTGGCACAATCTCATAAGCAGCCTGAAGAGATTTCGCATCTCTGGCTGGCTTTGCAAACCCTGCTTCTGTATTAACAAGAATAGTAATTTAACATTGGGCTGGCTTTTGTACCAATTTTCCGTTAGAGTAATTAGTAAACCAGAACTCCTATTTCCATCCTTCTCTCCTCCCTACCTCTCTTACTCTCACCCTCAATAGCAGAGCAGACACGGTAGTGAGCAAGAGAACACCAAGGCTCCCTCCTCCATAGCCTTCTTGTGTATCCAAGAAATACACAGAGTAGACCTGTATCCCTCCATAACGCCTGGACCCAGAATATGAGACTTTCTTTCATGGACCCATTGTTCAGTTTAAACACACATTACGAATTACACTTTTTTTCTGTTGACATGGTTTCTTCATACTGGAGCTATAATAGTCTTGCTATGTTTTTCTTGTACTTAATGTATACAAATGCCATATAGTGTACATACCTTTGATATCATTTTCTAGCATCTTAGCTTCATTAAGGACCCTGAAGCTTTTCTGAAGAGAGCCCTTGGAGCCATCCTTTAATGATCCTTCAGGACCAGATGTCTGCAGGCAAACAAGCAGTGTCATACATACAGGAAATTATTTTTCCAGCTAACTCCGAACAAGTCTTAAGTCAGAAAAGATACATGAAGAAGATCTAAGTGAACAGCCATCTTAAATTTTAAGTGAACACCAACGTGAATCATATGCCATTGTCGTTACATTGGTCTACAAGAGACTAGTAAAATAACTGTCTCTTCTTAATTTCCTTTTATTTTTATGGGGAGCGAGTTCTCTTTTGAAATAGCAATAATGATGGAAAAAAGAGAAACTGTTTATAGCATAATAGACATAGGTTTGGCTCTAGGAGCAGAACTTTGTCAAGAGACAGAGAGGGAGAGAGGGGGAGAGAAAAGAAAGGATATTGCAACTTAAGCATGTGGGTTTCTTCCTGCAGCTATGGACAGAACATCACACAGTACAGTATTTCTCCCCAACAGCAACTACAATTTAGAAGCCAGACTCTACCTAAAGATCCAGATTCTAATGCAGACAACAGAGATGTCTTTGTGGTTTTGTTCAAAAACTGTAATTGCTAAGTTAGTAAAGAAAAGATGATAAAAAAGAAATACAGTTTAGAAAGAAGAAAGGGCAACTGCAGTTAATTTGAAAGAGTTTTATTATTAAATAACCATCCTTCATCATGCTATTTAAAGATTTCTTTCTTTTGGAAAACATTCACCTCTATCTTCCTTGCAGAGAGTGATCAAGAAGTAGAATTATTTTTCTAAATTAGATTAGTATTTTCAGCTGATAAGATAAGCTCTAGGTGCCGAACCATTTACTGTTCAGTTTGTAGGAGTGAACTCAGGTCACACATCACACTGAGTACATTTCTTTGAGAATACTCTTGACAGCCAGATAACATTCTATATTAGTCATGGGTCATAGCATTGTAACTAGTATGTAATTAAGAAAGAATTAATTAAGAAGACTACTTTTCATTTTCTAGTGTAGATACATATACTCAAAAATTAACTATGTGTCAATTAAGTGACACAGTTATTATTAATATTCATTATTTATACAATGAGCAAGCCCAGAGGTGGTATTTTGCATAATACTGAATCTGCGTTGCTTCTCTGTGACACGTTAAAAATCAGATATTGGAATTGCTCTCGCTTTTTTTTTTTCCCCTTAAAAAAAAAAAAGTTAGGGAATGCTTTGGATCCTTTGATACTTTCAAAGTTTACAATCAAGTCCTCTGTAAAGGAATATCTCATGACACATGTTGCCACGTCACAGAGATATAGCTATCAAGGGTTCCTTGTAGTCATATGGGATGTGAACGCATGCATAGCTTTCATCACAGGCTTATGTGATTTTATGAAGCAAGGCCCATATGGCTGCTTTATTTCCAGTTTCACTTAAAATATTATGCTATGTACACAAATTCCTTTCAAAATCAACAGGAACTATATACCTGAAAGTTCAACAAAATTAGTTTTTTATAGATTTTATCTTTATTACTTAATATACGTAACTTTGTTTATAGAAAAATACATATAATACCAGAAAAAAAGACTATCCAGGTAAACAAAAGACTGCTCCTGAAGGACAAATGGTTGGCCAGATTTGTTGGCAGATGCACCTGTCAAATCAGATAATACTTTTATATTCTTTTTCCCTTTAGCATTAGAACTTAGGGAATGATCACTCTGCGATCATGGATCAAAAATAATGATTGTTATTATTATTAACAAATCATTAGGCATGCTTGGCTAGCTATTAAAGCTGTTTGGATTTGATAGAATGAAGTGGCAAGGCTAAATTTGCAATGCAAAAACAGGAAGTTCATCAAATCAGGTAGAATAATTGGGTCTGGGCTGACAATTATGTCAGAAACAGATTTCAGCATAAATTCATAAATTTAATATTTAAGAAGCCCTTACAGAGAGAAATAAATCTGTACTGATTAAAAACTTTATTTATTTAATATTTATTTTGAAATAATTCTGATTGAGAGGATTAATCAAAACATCTAATGTAAAGTATACCTTTTTGCTAGCTTTTCCTGTAGCTTTGCTATGTTTACTTATGATGAAGTCAATAATGAAAATCACAAACATTTTCTGACTTTGTATGAGATGAGTTTGAGTGTTGGTGGCAAGCATCGGTCATGATGAACCCCTTTATGACTTAATAAGACTGACAAGCAAAGGTCTTTGATATTGTTTTCTAAAATGGTACACCCACTGTAGAAAAAAAAAAGAAAAAAAAAGAAAAAATATTGTGGTTCCAAATAAACTGGAAAATCACAATGTCTGAGGAATCTGAATTCTAAATCCATCTGTTCCAGAGCGTACGTATCCTGGGAACAGCAGCTTCCTCACTCTGTGCCTTCCTCTGCATCCCCCTTCAGACTCCCCCTCACACACCCAATTTTTGCAGCTCGAGTGCTTGTGGCATCTTGTAGCACAGGAATGGAATCTCAGGATGTACCCAAGGGTTGGTTTAGAGGTGTAAGTGCATAATAATATACTATAAATTGCAGCCACTGAAGGCATATATCACCTTTAATGATCTGTTTTTTCCCTTCCCTGGGTATGGCAAAAATTTTAATATAGTTTAACAGGTGTTTAAAAGAAAAACATCTATCAATTTACAGAAAGACTATGAATTGCAGTGAGCAGATAATTATGAGTAAGGAAAAAAGTTAGTAAGAAATATTCCCTTTATGTTCCTTTTTCTGTTATTACAATGAATATTGAACTCTGTTTTTGCCAGATGGCCCAGCTTCTGCAAGAGGACTGGAAAGATCCCAGCTCAGCCCATAGCCTGGTGGGTTATGGCACTCTTCTAGGATGGAGGAGATCCCTTCAGATCTCCCAGAGATGACTGTGCGAATCCCTGAGTTATCGTACTACCATAGAAATGTGCCACAGGCTG